CTAATGACAAGGTGTTGACAACTTAAGTAGTATTCGTTGACAACTTACTTTATAGGATTACATAATCTTCACATAAGAGTAAATTATAACCAAATAGTATAACAACTTTAACACTAAAATGGAAAGTTTTTTGAAACCATTAAAAATTTTAACTAAACCCAATAGGATTATAGCAAAATTTTAATGCAGGGATTCATTGACAACCTCAATAGTGAGTATTAATAACCCAAGGAAAACTGTTGACAACCTTGAAAGTGTCTATTAACAACTAATTTTATAGGATAATATAACCCCTAACAATTATAAATAACTAAATTATAACTAAATAGTATTAAAGTTGATGTTATGTAGTTGTTATGTTATACTATTTAATTATAATTTGACATTATGTAGATGTTATATTATCCTATAAAGTTGGTTATTAATAAATATTGCTTAGGTTGTTAACAGTTCTCCTTAGGTTATTAATGCTCACTGTTGAGGTTGTCAATAAATCTCCGCATTAAAATTTTACTATAATCCTATTAGATTTAGTTAAAGTTATTATTGGTTTTGAAAAGCTTCCCATTTTAGTGTTAAAGTTGTTATATTATACTATTTGATTATAATTTACTTTTATGTGGAGGTTATGTGATCATATAAAAAAAGTTGTCAGCGAATATTACTTAAGTTGTCAATATCTTCTCATTGGGTTGATAATAATTGTTGTTAAGGTTATTAATAACAATGGCAGGGAAAATGTGAATTCGGAATTTGAGGGGTAATGATATTATTTTACAATTAGAATATAATACTCTGAGGTCCTTTGAGACCTGCTAGTAATTTTGATATTTTGTGAGACTTTGGATGATTATAGTTTGTTCCTTAGGACCTCTGCATAACTTTCCCTTTATGGAAATAGTGATAGAAGAAAAGGTTACGGTGCGACCAGCTTCACAGGTACTTTGTAATGATTCAATATCTTGAAATACTTTTTAGATGTGTCTTAAAATATTTTTTTTTATTTTAGTGCTAGACACACAAAAAAAATATTTTAAAATATTAGATGCATAAAAAATACTTCATGATACTGAACATATATAAAAAAATATTTCACAATACTAGATGCACAACAAAATGTTTTAGCGTATTAGATGTACTCGAGAAAATACTTTTGTTAATAATACGAGGCAACAAAAGTTGGAGGAGGCAAGAGAAGATGAGGGGAAAACAGAGGTGGGTGAAAAGTCAACGTTGATGTCAAAAAAAAGCTGTGAGAAAAGACGGCAGGCAGGGCCTTGTGGCCCCCCTATGATTGGGCCCACCCTCCCACGTGTTGCGTCTTCATTACAGTCTGTGACTACATTAATTACACTTTTTGCGGTTTTTATCCTGCCCTCAATTCCAGCTATTATTAGTTTATTACTATTACCTATTTAGCCTTTCTTCTTTTGAGATAAGTATACTTTTTCTTGACCTGATTTGAAATAAATATACTGACATAATAAATAGTGTTGTTTGTGTGCAAAGCATTGTATGAGTATGAAAATATTCATTTTTTTAATCACACGTCATCAATAATATAACTATTTTCATTTTTCAAAGTAAATATTGTATCAAACAAAAAATATATATTTTGGGTGATAATTTTGTATTTTAACTAAAAATTAAATACATTGTTTTATGTGCTTAATGAAATTAAAAAAATAATACTAGTTATGATTTACAAATAATAGTATTTACAAAGCATGCTGAAATTTTAAAATATAAAAAGATTTATTAAAGAATTAAAATTCAGAACATACTTTCTGGGCATTCAATTGCAGCTGTTTAAATTTGGTAAATTAATATTTTTCAATAAACGAAACTAATAATATTAAGATTAACAGATTAAAAATATGAGTACTTTACAAATTAAACTGAAATTTGATATGAATTTAGAGGGACAATTCAATTTTAACCTAGATATAATTGGATACTGAAATAAGGGCGTGTGTGTGTGTGTTGATTGATAGATTGAGGAAGAAAAGGACGAAAGGTACAGCAGAGGAGGGTTGGGGATTGTAGCGGATGGGACAAGACATTCTTAAAATCCAACGCCCCATTAAATTCCACCCTTTCCCCTCCCTAGCGTTCCCCACTTTCTTTCGGCGTGGGTGTTTTTCTTTTACTTTTTTTTTTTTCGATTAACAAATTATTTATACTACCTCCGGTCCTAATTATAAGACCCAGTTGACTTATTTGAAGAGATTAAGAAAGTAAGTTAAGTTAGTTATTTGTAATAAATAAGTGTTGTTATTCCTAAAATATTCTTGCTAATTAAGTATATTAGCTAGAACTATCATTATTAAAAGGATTATCTTGGAAAAAAATACATAAATATAAGAGACAAAATGGATTGGGATCTTATAATTAGGACCAAACAAAAAGTCAAACGGGATCTTATAATAAGGACCGGAGGTAGTATATCACTCATTTTTTTCTTTATAATGAGAATTAAAATAAAGATAAAATTAGAAAGCGATCATTAAAATACTATAAATGACTTATATTTAGGATTGTAATTTTTTTTCCCTAAAAATGATTGACATTTAAGATTAGAGTAGTACAATTTAGGCTGTGTTTGGGAGACACCTCAAACCATGGTTTGGGGAATAAATCAACCAAACACCCACCCAAAAACCAAAACCATGGTTTTGGAAAAAGCAAAAAATTTTTGCTTTTGGAGAAAAAAGGGAGAGTGTGAGAGCCTATAGGATATGTATCTTATTATTTTTTTAATAAACATATTTAATCTTATATTTTATAAATATATATACATATTAATTATTTATTAATTATATTATCTTATGTATTATTAATTATGTTAATAAAAAATATATTACTCCTCCGGTCCTAATTATAAGACCCAATTGACTTATTTGAGGAGATTAAGGAAGTAAGTTAAGTTGGTTATTTATAATAAATAAGTGTTGTTATTCCTAAAATATCCTTGCTAATTAAGTATATTGGCTAAAACTATCATTATTAGAAGGATTATCTTGGAAAAAATGCATAAATATAAGAGAGAAAATGGATTGGGTCTTATAATTAGGACCAAATAAAAAGTCAAATTGGATCTTATAATAAGGACCGGAGGAGTATTAACAATTTTATTCCTTCAAATTAAAATATATCATAAAATCTATTTTTTTTGTAATTATCATATTAACTTATGTCTTTTTTTTAGTAATTTGTATATATAAAAAGTGCTTCTGATAACAACTATCCAAACACTCTCACTTCTCAAAATCACTTTTTCATAAAATCTATTCTTCTCAGAATCTATTCTTTAGAATCACTTTTCCAAACCACGATTTGGTTTCATCCAAATACACCCTTAAACGTATATCTCTATGTAAACATGTCAATGATGTGCTTGAACTGGAAGCTACATCCAAATGTGGTAGATTGTGTTATGGTTGACACAACTAGGCATTGACTTCCAATCTAAGAGCTTTAAACAAGTTAAGACAAAATTTTTTTATATATTTATTTTGTATTTCGTAAATTGTAATTAAAAAATTATTTATAAATCGGTCTAAATAAACCCTAACTTTAAATGTACTGCTAATCCACTTTTTTTTTGGGTGTTTGGCATCGTACCAATCCACCCATCCAAGCCTAGTTAAAATTGTCCGCCTTTGTCCTATTTTCAGGATTATTCCCACCCATTCAAGGTCCTCCAAACATCTCTCCTAGAACTGCTTTTGATCTCTAAAATCTTTTAATGAGCCTTCTCACCCACTGTCCCGTTGGGAATCGGGAAGATGAAGGGCAACAATAATGATATTCACAATTTTTTAACAAGGGTAAAAATAAAATGTTCAGGGGGACACGTTCAGTTACGAGGCAACAACAGGCACGAGAATGGGGAGGCGGATCGCTTTTGCGAAGAAAGCCTTATCCATGGGGCTCGCCGGTTGGGTCTTCAGATCATGTTTTCAGCAAAGGTAGCGAGAGCCTTCGTCCGTCCGTGACTGGGAAATATATGGCTCGTTTTGCATCTGCGCCTGGAAGGTTGCAAACTCACTTCTAAGCTCCAAACAGCTACAAATCATTTTGGTCCATTCTCTTTTCATTTCAATTTTGGTCATCATATCCTTTCATTCGCCTAACTGAGAATGCTTGGAAGCACTGAAAGTACTACCTTCGATCCTTAATATAATACTCTGTTTGACTTTTGTTTTGATTTTAAATATAAGACTCCAATCCACTTTGTCTTTCATATTCATACTTTTATTCCAAAGTAGCCTTTCTAACAATGATAGTTTTAGTCAATACACTTGATTAGCAAGGATATTTTAGGAAAGACAACACCTATTTAGGACAAATAACTAACTCAACTTACTTTTTTAATCTCCTCAAATTAGTTAATTGGCTCTTATAATTAGAACTAGAGGTAGTACATTTTTTTTAAAAAAATATATTGAAGTGTTCCCATTGTATAATTTGGACGTTGTATGTGTAAAGTCAAAAAGGGGCGATTAAAACCAAAGTAACGTCCCCGCGAACGAGGAATCATGGATCCTTTTCATTGGATTGAGTAATCATAATCCTTGTTTGACTCAAATCGCGGTCAGAAGGAAACGAAACAAAGCTCAAAGTCAAATCAACAACAGCTCTCCCTCTAGACTCTAAACAAAAACCATGGCTCTTATTCCAACCTTCATTTCTTTTCTCCTTTCCACATACTTCGCTTTCAACCCACACCCTTCCCACCTTTTGTTTCTGTCATGAAAGGCCCCTTCCAAAAGAATCTTTTTGCTGCTTTGACAAGTACCATCCTGTTTCTCTCTGCCCCCTTTTTCCTCCCCATCTGCCTTTTTTTTCTGCCCATTGATATAATAAAGCGACATTACACAACAAGAGACGACCCATGCCTCTCATTTTCTCTTCATTCCCTTTCATCTGTATCGGTCTGTGGGGTTCGCTTCATCATCACTTGTATCTGCAAGTCTGAGTGAGAGATCTTTTGAAACATGGACGTTGCTGGTTCAAGAAGATCGAGCAGAAACACGAGCCCAGATCGCGTCAAAATTTGCAGGCTCCATCACAATAATGTCAAACCCCTTAAAAAAGTTCAAGTTGTTTACTATCTCTCCCGAAGTGGCCTCTTGGAACATCCTCATTACCTGGAACTCACTCTCTCCGCCAATGAGCCTCTTCGACTGAAGGGTAACTTTTACTTTCCAACACCAAGCTTTCACTTCTTTTCTTTTCTTCTTTTTTGAGCAAGTCATTCAGTTCTCTGATTCTGAAATTCATCGATCAAATAATGTCATTAAAGATGTGTTGGATCGGCTCGTTGCCGTGAGAGGGAGTGGCATGCCGACACTGTACTCTTGGTCCTGCAAAAGGTGTGTCTGTATGTATGTGTGTGTCTTGGTTTTCCCTTTCTCTCTCTTTTGTTCTGCACTTTTCCTTTTCACTTGAGTGAAAAGATTTGTTTTCTGATTTCAGGAGCTATAAGAGAGGATATGTGTGGTACGATTTGGCAGCCAATGACATAATATATCCTTCAGAAGGAGCAGAATATGTACTCAAAGGATCTGAGATTGTGGAGGATTGTTCTGGTTTGTTTCTTCTATGCGACATCCCATTCCCAAATACCCAACTACGCCCACCAACCACATTATACCAGTCATTGTAATTAATCAATTATAGTTGTGTTTTGCAGAAAGAGTTCAACAGACTCGAGTGAGTAAGCGATCCCAAGTAATTTATCAAGATCCAGTAGCTTTTAACAGCAGTCGAAGATCGTTCCATTCTAGTCTACCCAGGGAGGGGGAAGATTTCCAAGAATACGAAGAACATGAAGAAGAGTACTATGAAGATGGAGAGAAAACAAGCAACACAAGCTCCACCACCACGCCCCATTCTCGCTGCTCTAGAGGTGTGTCCACCGGTGAACTCGAAGAAGATCGGGAACCTAAGCCTCACCCCCAGATGAAAACAGTCAAGGTAACTGTAAACCACGCGCCGCCGCCTTCCCTCACACCGGCCGACAAGTTACAACGGAGCGAGCAAATAAAGGAAGCAAACGGCACTTCTATAAGGTTTGAAGATGGGTTAGAACCGAGTCGCAGCTCGATTCTACTTCAGCTGATAGCTTGCGGCAGCTCGGCCGTGTCGAAGGCTAAAAACTCGCCGTGCATGAGCAATGGGGTGAAGAAAAGGGAAAGCAGCAGCGGCAGTGAGATTAGCGTGAAGAGAGAGGCTGTGAAGGTGTCTGAGGAGGAGATGATAAAGTGCATGTCGGAGAATCCGAGGTTCGGGAATTTGCAGTCGGAGGAGAAGGAATACTTCAGCGGCAGCCTGGTTGAGTCAAGGAAGGAGAACCGGGTTCACTCGGAGGCCGTGTTCAAGAAGTCCAACTCGTATAACGAGGAAAGGTAAGGATTTTAAGTTTTCAATATTACTAGCAGGGAATTTGTGTTTCTGGGATAGATCATTAAATGGAGGATTGATATTTGATAATATCGCTTGCAGGAGCAGCAAGGCAGGGATCGCCGAGGAAGAGGAAGAGAAGGAGAAGGAAGGAACCAAAGGCAAATGCATCCTTCTTACTAATAAGAAATGTAGCAGAAAATGAATATCTACATATATGGATATGGTGTGATGTCTAATTATTAAACTAGTTATATTGATGATAGCCCACTCTTTTGTTAGTACTAGGAGAATGCACCTTCATGGTACTGAGTTGCATTATCATTAATAATTGTCTCTGTTTAATTGCTCTGGGGTACTAAGATATTTAACATAAACAGATCTCAAAACGGAATACTCCTCTTCTAATATGTAAGATGATTTTAACTAGGTTGATGCAATAAAATTGTTTTTTGTTTATTTTTATTCTGCGTAAATATTATTATTTAATATTTTCATATTAAATTGGAATGTGATTGGAAAATATTTTTGAAATAACTAGTTAAATGCTACTCGGATCAATGAGATCAGGTAGAAAGCCAGCAGTGAGGCAAGGGAATGAAAAAGCCATTACAGAGAGAAAAGGGTGTTTTTGAAGATTAATGAGAGTCTGGAGTATTAATAAGAAAAAAATATTACCCATAGTTCCAACTTATTGAGCACAAATAGGTCTTTTGAATTTTTGTTATTGCCAAGGGGTCCCAACTCCCAACACACTTGATGTTTGACTGGCCATTGACAGGTCAACATTAAAAAATTTTTTATTTTAATTATTTTAAAATTCAGATATTAAAAATTCTAGAAGCAATTTTTCACGTAGTGGTGTTTCTAAACATATTCCCAAAAATTTGATAAAATGATATATAAATGGGACGGAAAAAAACCTCTTTGCCTTGTAAATGGGATAAGAGGAGTATATATCTTATATATTTATTGTTTGAACTAATATTTTTAACTACATAATTTTGATAGCTATTTCTTGTAATAAAAAATGAAGGAGTATATTTTAAATAAGCTGATTTCATTGTTATTCAACTCTGCGTGAAGATATTTCGGGCCGAGCTCCAGTGCAGAACCACTTTGTTGAAGTAAAGACTTGGACTGCAGCCCACAAAAGAACATATTCTAATTTATCAAAGCAATAGAGCTGAGTTGAGTAGAAATGACTAGTCCATGTAAATTAATGTTTGGGTCACCTTAAGTAGAACTGTCCCTAATAGAAGAAGAACATTTGCACTTAAAAACAAAAAAAAAACATTCAAAGGCATACCAAAATATATTTCACGCTTTTGAAGAAAAAATTCCACAAGTTCAGTTTGGGTTGGGGCTAATAAGTTATTTGTTTGGATTTCATTCCATTGAAAAACTGAAATTGTACGGGCGCCGGCTTAAATCCTCCAATTAATTCACAGCATATTTAAACAATCTGACACAATTAAACACGCCCTAGAAGGTGTCATATGCATATTGAAAAAAAAAAAAAGGTCAATATCAAAATACTAAAATGTTACGTCACCTGTTCTCCATATCTATTACTATTTTAATTAATTAATGAAGGTAAGATGGTACAAAAATAATTAAATCTTGGTACAAAAATAATTAAAGCTTCCTTAAAATGAAATAATAATTATTTTGAAACAGAAGGAATGCAAAATTTATTTGAAAAAACTAAGAAGCAAAATAAAATGAAGTCTAGATATCTTCAGTAATAAATAATTTACTGCGTTTAAGAAAAAATGATTTTTTTTTATATTATTATATTTTGTGTGTTCCTGCGTGTCTCCCAAAATATTAAATCAGAGATCAAAATTAATAAAACAAATGTACACCTTTTAGCCAAACGCCCTCATCTATAATATATCATTCTATTTTCACTTCATAGTTCATTCTTTTGGTTTTCCCTGTTGAATTTTGCAATTCGGCATCGTTTTAATTAGTCGAAAAAGTTTTAGTTAAAATACTTTGTTTTTTAGGCATAGAAAGGTGCATAGGGCTGCTTAATTAATTTAAGTATTTAACGAACCACCTCTTGTATTCTTCCGTGGTAATGAAGCGGTGATGATATAATGTAAATGCAGCTACTGCTCTCATAACTTAGTAATGATAACACCTTTTGTTTTCCTGAAATCTTAAGAAATATAAATTATAATGAATTTGTATATTGTAATTGGCCCGTCCTCGCCATATTAATTACATGTAGCTCAAAGAACATAATTCACTTGTCGGTAATGTAATTTGTTATAAATTTTATAATATTATTGCATCGATGATGTTTTGATATCTATATATGAATATTGAATTGAATATACTGATAGTGATACATAAAAATTTCAATAAAAAAATTACTATATTAAATCAAAGAATCTACGTCTTGATCCGCTTAACTAGCAAGGAAATTAAAGATGCCATATAGGTGATTTTTGGTTGGAATATAATGATGTCTTAAAGGGAAATTTTGTTCTTAAACTATTTTATTTTCTTAGTACGGGCGTTGGGTATCAAGCACTGCAATGTCGTTCTTGAATATTGAAAATTGTGCAATGTTTTTTTAACGAACATCTGTTACAAAAAAAGATCTCATAAAATTACAGATGAGCATACTACAAGAAAATTAATACCAATGAAATCTATAAAATGATGAATAAATGTCAAGAGGTTAATGTTATTTTTGATCCATATTAAAGACCAAACTTAATATACCCTTCGTGTGGAGATCATTAAGGCGTACCCACTTCTCTAAGTATTATATATCTCGCCTCTTCATATGATCTCATGAAAGGGACCAATCTTGCTTTCTCTACCATTTGGGTTATTTGGCATCGAAAAGAATTGCTTTACAATACCAAACCAAGTTCCTCATTAGTACATGCAAGTTACCCAAATATAAGGTCTTTTTGAACTGATATTAATTTAATTTGTTTCATTTTGTGGAGGGCCATTTTTCCCAAAAAATATTAATGGAACGAAAGAAAGCGTATGAATATGAAGGCAAAGCCGGAGAGGCCCAGGTAATAAGTCACATCACATCACATCCGCACCTACTGGCACTGCCTCTCTAACCTCTGAAACATCCCATTTCAGCACCGAAGCGCCATCTCCGGACTCCTTTGTTTAACAATCAAACCAAGCGCCTTTTCAATTACCTCAAACAAATATATATCAAGTAGGCTCCAACTTTTCTTAATATCATCAATCTTACCCCAGCGTTAGATTCACTCAGAAGGATTCCTTTCTTTGTCTTCAACTGTAATATGCATATATAAGTACATCTAACTGGTGGCAGGCACAGCATCATCAGTTAAAAACATACACGAAAAATGAAACAGTTCAAAACATTATTGATCAATCAGCCTCCCTTCCTCTTCTGCATTAGGAATAAGGGAGAGAATTAATTGATGCCGAATAGTAGAGGAATTGAAGGTTAGTGGAAATGGTGGCTGGTTCTGTGAAGGTTAGAGAATGGAGCTACAGTTTGGAAGAACTGGTGGCGATGGACAGGAATGGAGAGCACAAGAGAGAAGAGTGGGTGAAGAATCCTCCAGAGCCTCCAAGTCCATGGAAGCAATTATGGGACACAGCCAAGGACACTTATGTGCCTACTCGATACAATCACAAGTCTCTTTTCAAACGTATACTTTCTCTGGTTTACCACTTCTTTCCCATACTGCACTCTCTCAGACACTACAATGCCTCCAAGTTTAAGAACGACCTGTTGGCTGGTCTCACTCTTGCCAGCCTCACCATTCCCCAGGTACCGACCTCCCTATTCTCTTGCTCATTTCTTCTATATCTATATTTGTACATATTGTTAATGCAGATGATTTGAATCCATAACATTAAACTCTTGAGCTTTACGTCAAATATTTTTTTCTTTCTGGGATTGTATTTCTTCCATACGGGCTATGAATGAATATGAGAGATTCAGTTTGCATCTTTACAGTCATCATCAACTCTTGTTTTTAGTCTCTCTTTTCCAATATGCATTTTGGAAATACCATTTTATTTTATTTTTACTTAAGTAGGATAAAAAAGCTGTTACAAAAAACAAATAATAGAATGAAAAGTATCATTATTTTATTATTTATTGATGTGATTATTAATTTTTTCCCCAAGCAATTATTTTTCTTTCTCAAAATTTTACATGGTTTAGGAAAACTTGTTTCCAATACATATAAGCTCACAGGATTTGAGGCTAATATAATATCTAATTCTTGTCAAATGTTTCTCATTTTGTTTGAAATTTGAAAATACATTATTTAATCCATATCTTATATAAAATCTTTTTGTTTTACCAATTTTCTAATCAAATGTTTCTCATTTTGAATTTTTAGGGAATGCATTCTTTAATATTAGGGATTAAATTGAATTTTTTTCCAGATAACAAGAAATTGATAACAAAATTTTAAAACTATGAAAGTTAAAATTAAAATTTACAAAATTATTTACAGTTTAAAATTAAAATTTACATAATTATTTACAGTTTCTTGAGGGATTATTTTAAGAATTCAAATTTTCTATAAAATGACATAAGGAAATACTCCCCGGTCCTTAATGTAAAACCTAATTAACTAGTTTGAGTACGTTAATGATGTTAGTTAAATTTAGTTAATATGATATGTTTTTTCTAAACACTCTAAGCATCTTCCTCAATTCTTTTTCTCCCTTCCCTATTTGATTATTGTTAAGCAAATATCAATAGGGTTAATTTAAAATAAAAATTGATAAACATATGAAATAAGTCTTACATATAAAACTAATATCAACTCCTCATTAGCTGGGCTTTATATTAAGGATTGAAAGACTATTAACATTTGTCTAGATTATATTTTTAATCGTTCAAAATATTGAGATATATAATAATTAATTGTTTTTAATGTTTGTGCGATTAAGTGCATATTATTAATAGTGTTCAAATGTGATAAACGACCAAAACAATATTCAGTATTTAATAATTGTCCTGATAAAATAGATTGTATATAAAAAATTTGGAAAAAAAGAGCATATTATTCACAACTTGTGAATAGCTTAACTTGCTAAAAGTTTTATATTTTATATTAATTGATATGCAGATATTAATGATACTAATATTAATCAACATGCAGAGTATGGGATATGCAACTATGGCAGAGCTTAATCCTCAATATGGACTGTGTAAGTTGAAGGATTACCTTTTAAGTTCTTTAAGCCAGCGGCATTTTTATGCATTAAGCTTTAAAATTTCTCATTTCGCTTCTTTTTGTAAGGAACTATCTAACTGGTGCAGTATGATTATTTCAGATACAAGCATTGTCCCACCTATGTTATTT